ACTAGTACTTTATTTGAGTATGGCCATTAGCTAGAGCAAATGATCACATATAAGTTCCAAGGTAACAAACATACTGCACAAAATGTATGGTAAATAATCTACAACAGTATTTTCTGTTGCCAGTGGGGCAAAATGGGCAAGTGCCCAGGGGCCCTGCAGGTCCCAGGTTCAATCCATTCTATTTGGGTTGACATAATTTGATTAATTGTAACATTTGTTATAAGTTGCACCACTGCAGTACAATATATGACACGACAGGTCCTCCATCCTCTATCTTGTGGTCCGTAATCTCTAGCTTGATTCATTGTTATGTTATGTGTTGATTAATTAGCACTAACATATGTTTAAGGCAACATCATTTCATCACAGCATAACTAAGGCTGCAAGAAATTAGTTTCAGCAGTAATAGGTCTTAATTTTTATTTGCTAATAATTAATTGTTCAGTGTAGAAGTGATGTTTATACATCAGAATCTCATATTAACGGCAATGAAGGAATTTATTTTTTGGGTGCTGTTTCAGGACTTCTTCTAGCTGTAAGCTGTAAAGAGAGCAGTGTCCTTGGACCAGGAAGCTCATGTTCATGACGAGCACTTCAGCACTGTGGCTTATTGCTATGAAAAGGCCAACACCTTATGGCCTCATGGCTTAAGGGTGATCTCTTAATTTGCAACAATGCTGTCCTCTATTGGCCTGGAGAATGAAGTGCATTGGATGCAACATAAACAGACCTTATAAAATCTGGCAACAGTTTCAGCATATGTTTAGAAAGGTGAGGCCCTTTGTGTTGCTGCAGATTTTTAGAGGATTACATAAAAGCACCGTGATCTATGATTATATGCTTGTATACACTGATTAAAATACCAGTTTTTCTGAATTGCTAAAACATGTTTCTTGAAACCACCACTCATTTTCTCAAAACCTTAAACACAAATCCAAGTACTCAAACTAAATTCACAAAACCTCTGACTCTTCTGGCAAAATCAAAAATTGCTTCTAAACCATTTCACCAGCACTCAAAATGAAACAATGCTTTCAGATCATACACACATAAGTCATATACACACTGCAGCTCATTCATTAGACACTAGATCAAATAATGGAGAACACAGCATCCAGGGCATGTAGGTACAAAAACAAAGGTTTATTGTATATAGTAAAAAACAC